GACGGATATACATTACCGCTCATTTGCGGGCGAGGCGGCATTTAATTGGCGCATGATATTCGCTTTGAAATATGCGCCCAATGAGGACATGGTAGGTGCTGGGGCTGCATGCCACACGGGGCAGTTGTTGTTGCCTCTCCTAATTGGCACGCGTAAAATAATACTTACTAGCGCGCATAATTAATGAGCTGCTCATTAAATCTGCCTCAGATGGTCATCAGACGCAAGGGTGGCCTGCAAGGCGAGGAGATCGAACTGAAGAGGCCGCCCATCATCTATCTGCAGATCTGGGATAAGGATGTCGTGACCCGGGACGAATATCTCGGCGCCTTGGAGGTGAATCTGTCCAATCTGCCGCTGCCCTATCACACGGAGAGAAGCTGTCAGCCCTTTCCCAGGACACGCCAGCGCATCAATCTGTTCAGTCGCAAGACTGTGCACGGCTGGTTTCCTCTACATGATGCGCCCGAGAGTCCAAATGGAGCAGCCAACTCGCTGGGTGTATGTGTTTAACCATAACTTCCTATATATATCTGCTGTTACTGTAAATCTGCAACCCTAGGGCAAAATTGAACTGCAATTGGATGTGTGTACGGAGGCGGAGGCATCCAATTTGCCAGCGGGCCTGGGCCACCAGCCCCCCATGGCCCTGGAGGCGCCCAAGTAGGTGCCAGAATTCAAATTTCTAATTTCGCTGCACTCATGCATTTTCGCCTTTCGCTTACAGACGGCCCGAGACCTCGTTCAATCCTCTAACCCATCCGTTCAAGTCCGCGCATCTCATCCTGTGGCCCGTCATACGCAAATACGTGTTCATTGGACTCTTTGTCATCTTCGTTTGCATGGGGCTGACGCTGTTCTTTGCCAATCTACCAAACAAACTGATGTCCATTCCCTTTAAATGATTCAATGCCATTTTCACTTTACTTTTTTTCTAATTAGCTAAATTCAACCCATTTTCTTATATTGTCTTTTTAAGTGTTATTAAATAGTTTATTTATGTGTATTTGTCAGTCGCCGTTTGATTAATTAAATGCACTTGCTAATTGCGGCAAATAAGTACTTGCTGAATCCAAAAGGCATTCGAAATGCCAGCGATAAGGCTGCCCAGATAGATATTTATTATGCACATCTATATACTTATATACTATGCGCTACTTTGGAGGATTCCATTGGAGATGGAAACGTGACAGATACTCGCATGTGAGGAATAACTGCAACACGATTCGTGGCCTGGACTACAATTGTTCGCATCGAGTTGGTCAACAAATAGCCGAATCATATTTATATGACTTTAATGCAGTGTTGGAAAACTTGGTAATAAGCATCTATTTGTATCTCATCAAGTACAGGACGACAAGCTGAGTCAATCTAGCTATTTCCATCTGTGTGAACTTAGAAACTATAAAAGCGAGGCAAAAATGAAACCAGATTTACATTTATATCGATATCTCCCTTTTTGGAAGTTAAATTTCTCACATAACTCAAAGATAATATGAGCTAGATACAGATTTAACATAGCTTGCATTCCATATACTGAAAATATCAGAAGGATCGGACTGCAAGCACCCAAACTAGAGGAAGAACAGTTGATCCCTGAATTTACATACATATTTTTGTGTAAATTTATAGGAAAAAAATAAGCTCTTTTAAAATATTATTTAGAGTATAGGATATATTTAGTTATTGTTTCGACTCCTTTGACTATGGCTATAGCATATGCATGCACTTGCACGGGGTTCGAGCCCAGGTTCCTGCTTTAAAGAAAATGTCTCGATAAAAAATATATATAATTACTTTGGAAAAGCACAATTTACGTCAGCTTTGACGTTGGGAGTATAGTCATCATATTGATCGCGAATCATTTGTACACATAAGTAGGGCAATTTGTGACGTTCATAAATGAGCCTGTGGTGTTTTCTCCGGGGAGACTGTCCATTTCATGAATTGCCAGCAATTTTCTCAGCTGTGCTTGGCCGTGCACTCATATTTTAGTTATAAGTACGACAGATTAAAGATCGTAATGCTCGCTTATTCTAAGGCCATATCTAATACCATATCCTAGCCAATATGGAAATAGTTAACCCATTGATAAAGGCACACTTGCGAAACAATTGTAAATTCCATCGCTCGACGTATTTCACCATATGAATGACACACAGATATAGACATATATTTATACAAAAACAATTACATTTACATGTTTATTTGTGTGTCTAATGGAAAGTCGCGGCGATTCGCGATGTGCGTATGCGAACGCCGACAGTTTAATTACAAAGGCAAATGGCAGAGGATACGAGTCGTATGAGTTCGCGTCTAGTTAAACCGGGTGACAAATTGACGAAAGGCTGCCAGCGACACGCTTATCAGACCCGGGCTCCGGCCCCGGCCCCACGCTGACCCCAAAAAGCAGAGAACTAACAGGCGCTATTCAAGGGCTGGAGCGCTCAGTTGGAGTTCAGCTAGCGAAGCTGTCGGTACGCAAAAGTCAAATGCTAATAAAAAAATAAAACAAAAAACAAAAAAAGAAACAGAAACTGCACTCAAAGGGTTTTAATTAAGTTTTATAATTAAAGTGTTGTGCATAAAGCAAATGCCTGCCCCGCCTGTCCGTCAAAAGTGTTGCACTCACCTTTCAGCAACTGAGTCTTTGATGGGTTTTAATAATGTCACTGAATCGCCTCAGGACTGAAACATATGGCGTGCATTAAGACAGGCAATACTCTAGCTACATATATCAAATTTCTCTATATACCAACTGCAGACAGTCTGTAGAAATACGTCTGAGTGAAATCGAAGACTTGCTCTCAAATATTCAAATAGTTCAAATTTTGAGTTCAAGTTCCATGTGCGATTGGCCTTTATTGTCAGCGGAAGGAACTGTGAAATGGAATGAAAACAATATTGAATAAATTTTCCAAAACATTTGCATTCCTTACTCTTACTTTTAGAGAGGGCATACTTTATTTCAAATTCAAAATTGCAAACAAATAAGTTTTCTTTTTTAAAATGTGTAATATAAATATATAATATAATTCTAAGAGTGGTATCAAATATCGTAATTAAAGCACAATTTTTAACTTAAAGGCCAATTAAAATGTAAATTATTCGCCAAGTACATAAGGAACTACGAGATTTTATGATCGCATTCAAGGCTGCTGAAAAGAAACTAACCTTAGCACGTTTCTCATCGGAAGTCAGGTAAATTTTAAAAAATTGTTATCAGAATTTTTCTATTATTTTTGTTGAGTTATTTATTTAATTAATATATTATTATATAAATAATATATCATATTATAAATATATATTGTATCTATTTTTATTTATTTATATACTTTACATATATATTTATTTTTAAGGCAATGTTTTGTCTTCAGAGTCCTTGGGTACATAAACTTCTTAGAACTAGACGCCTTTTTATATTTTCTATATTAATTTAAGTATATAGAAGATTTTGCAAGGAATTCTAAAACGTAATATTGCAAGATTTAATTAATCGAAATTACGCAGACACTCAAACTAATCAAATCATGACAACGCACATTTTGTCAACTCATCATCGAAAACGGACTCTTTCGATTAGTGAATTGAATAATCAGAGTAGGCACTCGGTATAGGTGGAAATGTCCACATTGTCTGGAAACTTCTCATATTTTCATTAGGCAAATGAGCGCGACACGAGGCATGCACTGCGAATTGGGATTGGAATTGGAATTGGGATTGGGTTTGGGAATGGGAATGGGGATTGGCAGCTCGTTCAATCGCGATGCCGATAGCGATCATTTTAATTTAATTAACAAGAAATCGACGAGCAGCTATAAGTCAAAGGATATAGTTTATATCGATATCAAAGTCTCGTACAGTTTGTTTCAATTCTTTGACGAAGTTGGTTCGCTCAGTCGCTGCAGCATGAAGCTGGAAGAGCTCAGGTCAGAGGCATTTTGATATTAAAATATAAATAGATCGTTTGAGGGCGTTTCCTGTCAATTTCGCTTGAGAGTCTCTGCCAAAAATAAGCTACCCTTTAATTAGCCATTCTCACTTAATGTGGTTTCGGTAGGCGCCACGTCCCTCGGGAAGCGGCCAATATAAAAAAGTGACAAACGAGCGTTGACATTGCGACAACAACACGCACTAGGCTAAAAAATAACCATAAATAAATACTTATAAGTGCTCTAGTTGGAAGTGTCCGACTGGGGGATACCCTATACGAGCTGTTATTCAATAATTCGAGTTCTCCTTAATACATACACACACAGTTCTTCCTTTAGCCCCAAGCTAAGAAAAATGTAGTTTTTATTAGCTTCGGTATATATAGTTCGATTGTTATGTACTTTTCATTGCAACTATATGCAGAGCCTCAGAAATGATTATTATTTCATTATTGAGCGAAAGGGGTGGAGGTAAAAGTAAAATATCTTAGGCCTTGTACTTAGCTCTCATAATTTGCGAGATAAGCTTAAAATATTTACTCTCAAAATCGATATGGAAATGTGGCGAACAACTTAGCTCATCGCCCTGCTCTAAAACATATATGCTTAAAGGCTTCAATCTGACTGTTGCATATATTTGCTGACATCCTTTTCAACGGCTACGGGGTATAAATATGCTTATATACTCGACTGCTGAATAAGCACTCCAATGTTAATTCGGAGAAATTGGCAGCATTATTTCAGAGACCCGCCAAGTTCCATTGACATCGAACGTCACGGTACAGTTGCCAGCCCCCAAAACAGCGCCGGGCTTGTTGTCTATTTCGCCTTTATCTCTGGACAACAAATACATGCTCTGGGTATCGTGTGACGGACGGGTTATCTAAACAGGGGACTGACAATTCAGAAGTTTAGTAAACGTTTAGGCCAATCAATAACTAATTAGTCAATTGATTGTGGCTGATAATTGTGCAAGGGATTATTGTGAAATACCGAAACTCTAACAGACGCCATTTGGCGCACAGTCGCGATTTGCGACCCTTTACCATCACAACAGCTGGCACAGATCCCGATCAGGCGAGCACCGAAGTCAAAATGCCCAAGCTCTGGAATGGTGTATACAATGCGCAATGCGCGGCTCTCCCATCGCCAGATCTGATGGAGGCCCAGCCCAAAATCTTGCCCAAGACCCGCTCCAACAGCAGCGGCGGCGGCAATCGCAGCAGCAAGGTGAGTCCACCTGGTTCTCGGGAAATTTCTAGAAAAGTTAAGAGCTCATTTGTGTCTTCAATTTGCAGTACTGGATATTCTCGATGATAATCGAGCGAAGTGCGGGCCCCAAGCGTGTGGACATGGCTGGGGATGATGTGGAGTCCCCGTTGGAGGCCATTTTGCCGGCTGAGCCGCAGGTGGAGCAGGTCTGCCTGTTGCGTGACAGCCCCTTTAGGATACTGCGGGTGAGTTCCAACTAAACGTGCGGTTGCCAATTTGCTAGAGTGATAAGCCGATTCCCTGGACGGGCATTGTGAAAAACGTTTATTGATTGTCTAGCCAAACATAAGTACTAATTCGTTGTTCTCGACTCGAGTGCAACCCTGGTTGGATGAGAGCTCCTGCTAGTTCGGCTCTCAACTAGGGCTTGGGTTCAGGTGCAATTCATGAAGCCAGGTTTGAGCCATCGCTTACCCAGCTTTACATTTGAAATTAATTATGAGGCAAGTCTCTTTTGAGCACCTGGTTGTGTTAAAGGTTAGCTTCCCATAGGTTCGGTTCGTGAGGCTGGGTTTAACCATCTTTGAACTCAGATTCAAGCCAGGGCTTATCGTATTTTCAATTTTTAATTCATTTCGAGAAACTATATTGATATCAGGCGTTGGTTCATAGTTAAACGAAAATTAAAGCTACAGGCTCGATATTGATTTTGATCTCATTTTGCATGGCTATGAACTTAGATACGAGCCAGGGTTCCTTCTTATTTTCAATTTTTCCTGACAACCTTTTTTTGACAACTAGTGAAAGGTTTCAAAATTCGATCTAAGCTGAAAACATAAGTTCCGGACTCTAACCTTTGGGCTCACATATGCAAAACTAGTTTGTTCTTTATTCCAGTCAGATGTAATTTTTAATTTTTAATATATAAATTACAAAGTAAATTTCTCTAGGACAAGTCGTTAAGCTTAAAATTTGGTTCATGGTGAAAAGAAATTTCCGGGTTTCGCAATCGAACCGGCTTACAACCTTTTTTTAAACCGATTTGTGCGCAGCAATGCTTGCCAAGACCATTTGCACTTACATAAAAGAAGATAACAGCAGAGCTCAAAGATAACCAAGGGTCAAAAGCCGCTGCCAGAGAGCAAAATGCGGCCAGAACACGCAGCGCAACAAGTTTTCCTGAAAATGCAGCAACAGCAGCAACAACAACAACAAGGAGAAATGGAAACAAAATGAAAATGGAAATGAAAATTGACTGTGCAAATTGAATGAAACTCACCACGCGTCGAAAATCTTCGCCGCTGGCGTTGCGCTCGGCAAAAGCAGGGCAAAAGCAGGGCAAAAGCAGGGCAAAGCCGGGCTATAAAAGCAAAGGATGTGCGTGCCGAGATTTCAGTCTGGCAGAACTTCTTGTGCGCGAGATGCCAACTCGAAAGGCGCAAAGCAAACAAATATTAAAGTCAAATAAACTGAAACTTATCATTAACATTGAAAAATCAACAACGGAAAATGCAGTTTGTGATGTTTGAAAGTGATTTAGAAAGTAAAAACTGAACTAAAGCAAATTTAAAGGGATATGTGTAGAAAATGTAAAGAAAAATAAATATATTAATATATTTAAAAGGATAAACGTTTTAGTGGAAAATATGAAACAAAAGATGTGATTGGAAAGAGTTTCAATATTTTTATTCAATATATATTATATACATTTTTAGCAACAATTCGTTAGACAAAATAAAAGGAAGAAAATTCCATATATTTTATTAAACTATTAAATGCATACTTAAAGAAATCTGTTACCTATACATATGTACCTTAAATACGTGTATTAACAAATTAACCAAAAAGTATTTCAACGATTTTTGCTTGAACCGAAAACAGTTTGCCTTGACTTAAGCAATTGTTACCAAGGATATTTATAGAAAAAGAAATCTACAAAAATTACGGGCAAGAAATAACAAGTATTCCAAGAACAATTATGAGTGCTGGGCATTTAATAGAAATGGAATCTTATAAATGCCCGCAAGAATGATGAGCGACAAGGAGACCCCCAAACGGGACGTGGTCATCAGTCCATTGCGTTATTTGATTAGCGGCTGTGCCGGCGGCACAGAGCTGTCGGAGATGCCTCCACTGAATCTGTCCAACAAATGGGCGCGCATCCTGCGGATGTCCTCGGCGCCGAAAATACAAGCCGATGAAATTCTGCAGGTAAACGAAAATTAGCTAAGTGAGTTTTTGGGAAAGTTAACTTTTAAGCAGCTGCCAGCCTCGACGCTAAGCTTGTTTAAAAGTTGAACAATTTATTTGTAATTAAATTGGATTTGCCTGGATAGTTAAATGAAGTGCAAGCCAAATTTGCATTCAAATGACGCAGCTGCACTTGCTGCCTTGATAAACAAATAAATATCCAACAGCAGCTGCCACTACACAATCCAAAGGATATGGACAAGACAATGCCAGCTCTTAGCTCTCAGCTCTCGGTTAAGGCAAGCGTGCAAACAACCCACATAGAACAAGAGTCCGGCTCTGATTAAAAACTCTATTGACATTGTTGCTGGGTCCTTTGTGCGAGTCCTTGTCGCAGCTGGGCAACACAAATGAATATTGCGTGTCTTGTTCAATTTGCAGTGGAATTTTTGATTTAGCTCGTGTGCACTCAGGTCTGCACATCCCGGACGGAGTTAGCGCGTGCTCAAAGTTGGCACAACTTGAAGCACATTTATTTAACTTTCAGTTAAAATGCACAATTTGATTAGCACTTTGGCTGCTGGCAGCAGCCGCGTTGAAATCCATATTCTAGCCTAAGTAAACAGCTGGCAAACTTCTTTTTGATCCCTTGCAGGCTGCCGAGTCAGGCAACTTGGATGATTTTAAGCGCCTGTTCATGGCGGATAACACGCGCATCACGCTGCAGGATGGCAAGGGACGCACTGCAGCACATCAGGCGGCGGCCCGGAACCGTGTCAACATATTGCGCTACATTCGCGATCAGAGCGGAGGTAGGTGGTACTCAACCAACTGTTACAGCTGTTCATCAATCTTTCCATCCGCAGACTTCAATGCCAAGGACAATGCCGGCAATACGCCGCTGCATATTGCCGTCGAGTGCGATGCCTACGATGCTCTGGACTATTTGCTCTCCATGTAAGTGCCGGCCAATTGAAGGCTTTATTTCATTAATTACGCTCTCCTATTTGCACAGTCCTGTCGATACGGGCATCTTGAATGATAAGAAACAGGCGCCGGTGCACTTGGCCACGGAGCTGAACAAGGTCAAGTCGTTGCGTGTGATGGGCCAGTATCGCAATGTCATCGATATACAACAGGGCGGCGAGCATGGACGCACTGCACTCCATTTGGCTGCCATCTACGATCACGAGGAGTGCGCCCGTATCCTGGTAGGTGGTGTGAGTTCATTGTGCATTTGTACATATTTCTGTCATTTATTATTATTTATTTCCTTATTATTTGTTAACTTTTGTAAAGGGACGACATAACGCAGGCAAAGTTGCGGAAGTTTGAAGCTTACTAGGGGCTTGGCTTGATTTTTGACAAATTTACCCATTTCGAATTTTTTTAGAGTAGTTTTTTAAGCCGGATCATCTAAACTTTGCGTGGGCCAACTTTTAGTTTTCATCTCTTAGACATTTATTTTCCGCCCGTTTTGCTCTCATAAGATAACTTATTTAGGCCTTTCAACAAGGTTGAATTTAGCGTTTTCGCGAATTTTCGTGAATTGGGTGGAGTTTTCAATTTTATAATGTGAACTTACATAACATTAGGTAACCACAATAGTAGGCAGTATTCAATTTACCAGTCTGTCATTTCATAAGTCAGTAAGTCAGCTTGTCTCTGAGTCAGTCGGTCAGTTATCAATTAATCAATCTGTAAGTCCATCATTTAGTCGCTCAGTTAGTCAGTTAATAATATTAGTCAGTCAATCAGTCAATCAGTTAGTCAATCAGTCAGTCAATCAGTGAGTCAGTCAGGTTATTATCTGGTTTGTCAGTCAGTTTGTCTATCAGTCAATTGGTCGATCAGTCACTTAGTCAATCAGTCAATCAGTCAATCAATTATACTGTCAGTCAGTCAAGTTTTCTCAGTCAATTAGTCGGACACGCAATAAATCAATCAGTCAGTCAGTTTTTTCTCGGTCAGCCAATCAATCAGTCAGTCAGTCAATCAGAAAGTAAGTCAATCAACGACTCAGTCAATCAATCATTTACTTGGTCAGTCCCTCAGTCAATCAATCATTCTGTCAATCATTCAGTTAATCATTTAATCAATCATTCAGTCAATCATTCAATCAGTCTGTACATACGGTGTTAAATATGTAAATTATTAGTTTGCGTTTCACTTGCAAGATATTCTCTCTACAAAAAAAATTTGTCATGCATCTTATTTGCAACAACGCGTAATTCTCAGTTTAACATTAATCAATTCCCCGCACACACTTACATTCTCTCACACACATAGACACACACGCACACCCCCACACACACAGTGTAAGATATTCACTAGTCATTTATCATATGGAAAAAGGTTTGTACATAATTCGATTTGCCTGCGCACAGAAGTATGCAACATTATTCTAAGTCGCATCAAGTGTCTGCTGTATGCGTGAACTGTTGTGTGTGTAGCTGTTGTATGTGTGCATATGTAGTTAATATTTGAATATAATGTTATGTAATGTATTGGGTATGTCGTATCTTACAGATTACAGAGTTCGATGCATGCCCCCGTAGACCCTGCAACAATGGTTATTATCCCATACATGAGGCGGCTAAAAACGCCAGCTCCAAGACAATGGAGGTCTTTTTTCAGGCAAGTATGCTTAAGTATGGCCTGCAGCACATCAAGCATTGCCAGCCAACCCATGCGCACACACTCACACACACACACACACACGCCCATACACCCATACATCCACCCACATACTGCATCCATTGCAAGAACCCATTCATTTTGAAGCCGATGTCAAAGCTTTAAGTGCTGCCCCGTTAGTGTCCCCAGGCGCTTATCCACTTTATTTGATTCGTGTTGCATTAATGTTGCTCGCATTTGCTGGCTCTGGCCGTCAGTTGAACTTTTGCATTGAGTTTTTCATTTTTATGTCGTTTTTTCTTACTCTGAAATTGCGTATACGCGACGTACGCTGCTCTACAAAGAAGTCAATTATAAAAGTATCAAATTCGAACAGTTTACGGTAAAGTCGTCCATTTCTTTTAGCTCACGACTCGCTGTCAATTCGCTTTAATAATGAAAAATAAGACAAACAGAAAACAAAAGAAAAATCCTCAGCAGACCCAAAACTTAAAAGTATCGAATGTTTCCCCAGCTTAAGGGTCGGTCAGCGACTTTTCCAAGCATTCGTCCAATAGACCATTCTATAAATACTGGAATATTCCAGCCCTTTTAGATTATGATGAAATAACATAAATTAATTACATTTTTCTAACAATTTTAATAATAGCAAGTCGTTCTTGAAGTAATAGAATATTCCAGCAATAGCTTATTGAATATGTTGAAATAATATATATATATAAAAATGTATATATTTTTCAAGAATTTGAATAAAGGCCAAATATTACTTAACCGTTCTATTAAACTAGAATATTCCACCCTGATCTAGAGGAAATCACATAAATAAAGACCTTTCCAATATAAACCATATTTTTAAAATAAAATTAAAAAACATGCTAAATATTAACATGCCATGCTTTAAACAAAATAATATTGCCGCACTTTGATTATTTTAAAATAATTGATATATTACTTTTCCCATTAAATAAAAATATAATTTGTTTTCCAATTAAATTTTAATTGCATTTCAAATAATATACTGTCATTCGTTAAATAATAGAATATTTCCGAAATCGTAGCTTTAAGACTTTCTTTATGATGAAATAATATTTATAATTATCATTCCAGCAACATTTTATAGTTATTCAACTTTGAATACGGTTAATATAAGTTTAATGCGTCTTTAACAATTTTTAGTGGGGCGAGCAACGCGGCTGCACTCGCGAGGAAATGATATCCTTCTACGATTCGGAGGGAAATGTGCCGCTGCATTCGGCGGTGCACGGCGGGGACATTAAAGCCGTGGAGTTGTGCCTCAAATCTGGCGCCAAGATATCGACACAGCAACATGATCTTTCGACGCCTGTGCACTTAGCGTGCGCCCAGGTGAGTGCTGGGCGGATGTGGGTGGGCTTTGGGTGGTGGCTGGCTGGCTGGCAGCAGGTTGCCATGGACTCGCGCCTAGCTGCCAGACAGGCCTTGGCAGCGCTCATATTTCCGAGTGTCATCGCTGGTTAAATGGATGCTGCGCTTGAACCAGCAATTGATAGCTAAACACTGTCCTCGCCACGTGGTTGCCAGCTGCGTCCAGGACACACGGCTGTTTCCTTGTCTGTGCGTTATTTTTGGTGACTTTAATTTGACAAATTCTTATGCAAATTGTGCTAAGACGAACGTGACTTTGTGGCCGAAACCGTTGAGCGCCGGGAAAATGCGTAAGCAAATACCAAAACAAAGACACGTGACAGGAGCACGTTGGGCTGGGCCGAGGGGTAGCTCGGATTAAGTTCTGAGAATATTTAATAAATATTCGATATTTATGTTACGCAAGCTTACAAGAAATTCCACAACATGGGCAATCAATGCGGATTTATTTATATACTTTGTGATTTAATTAAGGCATTTTTTTGCGGTTTCATATATTATGGAAATATGTCTAAGACATGTTGGAGCGGGACAGTACTTGTGATTGCAAAGGGCCGAAAATTAAATACCCTGCAAATACAGCGCAGATTTGAGAAATACTTAGACAATCTTGCTCTTGACTGAATACTGATATGCAAGAGGACATAAAGAGGCCAGATTGGGTCGACTACGACTGGCTGCAACAGGGAGACGCATATATATAACATTTCATCATCATTTTAAGGGGGCCTCCGTTCTGATATATATTTTTATATTTACCCCTAGCCGCATGTCTACAAGGGTATTTTATCTTCGGCGTGCCGATAGTCCCCTTCCCTTTCTGTCTTTTTACCATAATTTCTTTTAATTTTTATTAAACACAGGGCGCTATTGAAATAGTTAAGCTGATGTTTGAGATGCAGCCATTGGAGAAGAGGATCTGTCTCAGCTGCACGGACGTACAAAAGATGACGCCGCTGCATTGCGCTTCTATGTTTGATCACCCGGACATAGTCTCCTACCTGGTCAACGAGGGTGCGGAAATCAATGCGCTGGACAAGGAGCATCGGTCGCCGCTGCTGCTGGCTGCCTCGCGCAGTGGCTGGAAAACAGGTGGGAGATTGGCAAACCTTTTGAAAGAGATTGAAATTTATGCATATATTCTTCTTTTTTTTTTTTTTGGTACAAGTGCATCTGCTGATACGTCTGGGTGCGAGCATTGATGTGAAGGATGCCGCCGCGCGCAATGTGCTGCACTTTGTCATCATGAACGGGGGTCGGCTGACGGACTTTGCCGAGCAGGTGGCCAATTGCCAGACACAGGCGCAGCTGCAGCTGCTGCTCAATGAGAAGGACAACATGGGCTGCTCGCCGCTGCACTATGCCAGCCGGGATGGGCATATACGTTCGCTGGAGAATCTCATACGGCTCGGCGCCTGCATCAATCTGAAGAACAACAACAACGAGAGTCCGCTGCACTTTGCCGCACGCTACGGCAGATACAACACGGTCCGGCAGCTGCTCGACTCCGAGAAGGGCTCCTTCATCATTAACGAGAGCGACGGAGCGGGCATGACACCCCTGCACATTGCCTCGCAGCAGGGACACACGCGTGTGGTGCAGCTGCTCCTGAACCGAGGCGCATTGCTGCATCGCGACCATTCGGGCCGCAATCCGCTGCAGCTGGCGGCCATGTCCGGCTATACCGAGACCATAGAGCTACTGCACTCGGTCCACTCACATCTGCTGGACCAGCTGGACAAGGATGGGGTAAGTCAGCGATAGCTGTGCGAGCAATAGCAATGCATATGGTATAACCATCTTCATGACAGAACACGGCTCTGCACTTGGCCACCATGGAGAACAAGCCGCATGCGATATCCGTGCTGATGTCCATGGGCTGCAAGCTGGTCTACAATGTGCTGGACATGAGCGCCATCGACTATGCCATCTACTACAAATATCCGGAGGCAGCGCTGGCCATGGTCACGCACGAGGAACGGGCCAACGAGGTGATGGCTCTGCGCTCCGACAAACATCCGTGCGTCACCTTGGCGCTGATTGCCTCTATGCCGAAGGTGTTTGAGGCTGTGCAGGACAAGTGCATAACCAAGGCCAATTGTAAGAAGGACTCGAAGAGCTTTTACGTAAGTTGATTCGTTGTCCAGAACTGGACTTGGCACATCCATCCATCCATACATATATATATATATTAGGAACAGCTCATTTCATCAAATTCATGAACTAGTTGGCCAGCCGGAGAACCTGATGCTAATCGTAACTCTTCTCTTTGACAACAACGATATTTAGATTAGGTACTCATTCGCATTCTTGCAATGTCCCTATATGTTTGCCAAGATCGATGAGAAAACCGGAGAGCCGATCATGACATCCAATCCCATTCCATTGCCGGCCCTGAATGTAAGCAGAAACTGCAGCAAGCAGCCAATGCAGATGCATGCTTATTGAGTGTCAATTTTTTGTTTGCCTATGACATACTATATACAAGCTGGACAATCCAATTAATCCGATCCCTGCCGTTCGATTATATGTTTAGGCTCCCCTCCTCCCCCACCCAAAATTGTTCCTATTAGGGTCCGCTTCATCCGCTCATGCACGCCCATGTATACGCACCCATTGCCGCATTTTGATATATTTTTGTATAACCCAATTCAAAAAAACCAAAAACAAAACCAAACATCTTTAGATCAAATATTCATTTTGGCCATTCCAAAAAACGCCCGAGCAAATCGAGGAAAAACGTAAAGAATTCAATGATCCGAAATGGCGGCCGGCGCCGTTGGCTGTCGTGAATGTGAGTCGAAATCCTAGTTGGAAAACAAAAAACACTGTGAAAAACTATTTCCGCTAATTTAAAACTAACTTAAACTAACTAACTTATCAATTAAAAGGCAACTGTAAAATCGTCCCAAGTCCTTGCACTTGCTACTCGTAAAACTGTTGTGTTCTGTTATCCTGTTCTAGAGTGTTGTTGTTGTCCTTGTCGTTATTCTTGTTCTTGGGTGTTGTACTTTAATCCCAAATAGTTGCCCACTAATGCCCAATTTGGCTCTCTGTTCGACTAGACCATGGTCACGCATGGACGCGTGGAGCTGCTGGCCCATCCGCTCAGTCAAAAGTATTTGCAAATGAAATGGAACTCCTATGGAAAATATTTTCATCTGGCCAATTTGCTGATCTACTCGATTTTCTTGGTCTTTGTCACGATCTATTCCTCGCTGATGATGAACAATATTGAGCTGCGTTCCGGCGACAACAAAACCACCAGCCAATACTGCAACTTGGGGTAAGTCTGGCAAATCCCAATACAATAATCAAAACCTTTGATATTTGTCGAGTTTTACAAACAATATCTTGTCTGATGTTTATTTTATTTCTTCTTTATAAATCATTTTTCTACATTTACTGAATTTTTGAACATAAAGTTTCATTAAAAAAAGTTGTTAAAACGAATTCAAGTTGACGGTAGAGCATCCTTCTCTTCCTCCTCCTCGAAGAAAGTCCAGACACTTTCCTTCTTCGTCTCCTTCTCCTCCTCAACAAATATAATTAAACAAGTCATTCAATCATCAGAAATTCAAAATGTTCATCATTTATTTTCAACTCTTTTCAAGAGAATCGAAAACTAAAATCAGAATGCATTAGCTCTGTTCTCATATGTAAACTAATCCTAAAAAAAGCAAATCTTACAAAATTAAAAAAATTAGATAAAATTATTTATGTTGGGATGGAGCATTCCAAACAACTAAAAAGTAGACCTCTAACTCTTCAACAAATTCTAGTTTTGAGACAATATTAAGTCAATCACATTTATATTTTTGCAGCTGGGACGTGCTCACCAGGAATCTATCGCATGGCCCAGCGATGGCAGCTCAAATCCGGCCGGACTCGTGCGTGGAGAGCATCAATCGGACGACGGCCATACTTTTTTGTGCCGTGGTCATTGTGGTCTACATATTGCTCAACTCGATGCGCGAACTGATACAGATCTATCAGCAGCGCCTGCACTATCTGGTGGAGACGGTCAATCTCATCTCCTGGGTGCTCTACTTATCCGCATTGATAATGATAGCGCCTGCCTTTAAGCCGGATGGCGCCATCAATACCATACACTATTCGGCGGCATCCATTGCCGTCTTCTTGTCCTGGTTCCGTTTGCTGCTCTTTCTGCAGCGCTTTGATCAGGTCGGCATCTATGTGGTCATGTTCTTGGAGATTCTGCAGACCCTGATCAAAGTGCTGATGGTCTTCTCCATACTGATTATTGCTTTCGGCCTCGCATTCTATATATTGCTCTCGAAGGTGAGTGTCTGCCTCTATGCTCCACAAATAATTCTCTAAAAATAAATAATTTTCACCTTTGCAGATAATTGACCCACAGCCGAATCACTTGTCCTTCTCGAACATACCCATGTCGCTGCTGCGCACCTTCTCCATGATGCTGGGCGAGCTGGATTTTGTGGGCACCTATGTCAACACTTACTACCGCGACCAGCTGAAGGTGCCCATGACTTCCTTCTTGATTCTGAGTAAGACCAATTGGCGTACTCTGTCGCAATATGCTTATCTCTATAATTAAACGACAGGTGTGTTTATGATCCTGATGCCCATTCTGTTGATGAACTTGCTCATCGGTTTGGCCGTTGGCGACATCGAGTCGGTGCGTCGCAATGCCCAACTGAAGCGCCTGGCCATGCAGGTGGTGCTCCACACGGAGCTGGAGCGCAAGCTGCCCCATGTCTGGCTGCAGCGGGTGGACAAAATGGAGCTAATCGAGTATCCCAATGACACGAAATGCAAGCTCGGTTTCTTGGACTTTATCTTACGCAAATGGTTCTCGAATCCGTTCACCGAGGATTGTAAGTATACCAGACATCGGTAACTATTATTATTATTTATTATTATTATTAGAATTCATTTCGAGCCTAGTCTTTTGCCTTATTGTGGATTCCTTCTCTTAGGTCTGGGAAATCTTCAGCCTGCTTATAGCTGGACATTCCCAGATAAATAGCTTGTCCAGGCGTCTGCCCTTTGTAACTCTGCTAGTTTTTCCTTGCGTATTCAGAGACTCGACTTACTTTATTACAAGCACAGACATGATCTTGATTCCTGCCTGACAAAAAGATGTTCATTAACTGTAGCTTGTTAGCCAACCTTATTCATTCTCATACATTTGGGCTTAACTTTTACTCACTTTCCAACTTAACTCCGCAGCTGCCATGGATGTTATTAGCTTCGACAACAACGACGACCTGATCAATGCCGAGCTGGAGCGTCAGCGCCGCAAGTTGCGTGACATTAGCCGCATGCTGGAGCAGCAGCATCAGCTGGTGCGTCTCATTGTGCAGAAGATGGAGATCAAAACGGAGGCCGATGACGTGGACGAGGGCATCTCGCCCAACGAGCTGCGCTCCGTTGTGGGCCTCAGCTCGGCCGGCTGCAACCGCTGGAACTCGCCGCGCATACGCAATAAATTGCGTGCCGCCCTGAGCTTCAACAAGAGCATGTAGTTGGGAACCTGATCCCAAGCTCTACAAGTATAACCAAGTAGTGAAAAGTAAATTTTGTTAAATGACATGCATACATATACTATATCCTTATCAATGTCTGTATAACTGGAACAGGTTGAGAATTCTATGCCAGAAATTGTCTTGTGAGCTCCTTGAAGGAGTTATTTACGAATTTAGGGGCAACAAGCTGGGCTCTGCGAGTATTTTTTTTTTTGTCATCAAGTGAAAACGGAATATTTCACATTTCTATAACTACTTAACGTATTTGATATATCTGTGTCTTTATCTGTGTTTAATGTCCTTCAAAGTCTACGAAATAAAGTCAATTTATGCATGAAAATTGTTAATTTGCGCTGATTTGCGATTTTATTTATAAGCTCTAAATGAATTATGTTGAAACATGAACTTGTCGATCAAAATGTATTTTGAGAATGTGCTTAACAACTAAAATAGAAATAGATAAAATAGCCCTCGGAATGGGGTAGGGGGTCTACATAAATGTAATCTTGGTGCGACCCATGTTGACCTGCCACACGTTAAGCTCCTCGTAGTCGTCGATGCATTTGTCCACCTGGTCGGGTTTGAAGCCCTTTGTCGTGCAGCGATCCATGATGTCCGCGATCTTGACAGCCTTGCCAGAGCCGGCCAGCTCGCGTACAATGGCAAAGATGCGATCCGATGTATTTGGCACACTGCAAGTGGATTTAAGAGTGATGAGAACCAAAGCAAAAGTCAAGCAGCTCGTTGTACTTACTGTCCCTTCTGGTGTTCGTGTATCTGGTTGAGTGAGTCCTTGGACATTTCCAGCAAACGCAGTGCCTCGGCTACATCGTCTTTCTCAACGCGATCGGAGAGACGCAGGCGAGCCAGCGCTGTGGAAAGGCGCAGAATGCCGAGCAAATTACGTGCGGACGTAAATGTCATGTCCTTCTGGTTGCGAGCCTCGCGCCTCAGCTCCACATAGGCACCGACAATGTAGTCGGTGAGCTCGTCTGGAATGGTGGGATGCTTGCGCTTGCACAGATTTATGTAGCGTCGCATTAGATTCATGTCCAGCGCCTTGACCCGCGTGGGCGGCTGCTTGCTGTGGCTGTGCACGTAGGTTATGTGCTTGGCCAGACGCAGATCGTTGTCGCGATCGGGCTTGTCCTGAATGAGCCACAGTAAGTCGAAGCGAGACAACAGGGCGGCGGGCAGCTGAATGTTCTGCTCCACGGTGCGTCGTGGATTGTAGCGGCCAAAGGCGGGATTGGCAGCAGCCAGAATGGAAACGCGCGCATTCAGCGTAGTCATGATGCCCGCCTTGGCTATGGATATGGTCTGCTGCTCCATCACCTCGTGTATGGCCGTGCGATCAACATCAGCCATTTTGTCGAACTCGTCAATGCAACAAACGCCCTGATCGGCCAGCACCAAAGCGCCGCCCTCGAGTGTCATTTCGCCGGTAAGTGGATCCTTCATTACGGCCGCCGTTAGACCCACGCCCGAGGAGCCGCGACCTGTGGTATACTGCGAGCGTATGGCCAGCCGACTGATGTAGCCCAGCAGCTGCGATTTGGCCACACCAGGATCGCCCATCAGGCAGATGTTGATATTGCCACGTATCTTCATGCCATCCGGCCGTTTGTCCACGCCGCCCACAAGCAGCAGCAGGAGCGCCTTCTTCACATCCAAGTGGCCATAGATTTCGGGCGCCAAGCTGGTGGCCAGACGCTCGTAGAAATCATCCTGGGCCAGCTCCTCCAACTCTGCCGGCGTCAATTCACAATCTTTGTCGGAAATATCATCATTCTTGTTTATGCATATGATGCGCTGCCAGGAGACAATAGTTACAGCACACGATTAGCTACAAGTTCTCTACAAAACTTACGTGCGCCTGCAGGAACGTCTCCGAGAGCAGACCCTGAATCATTTGAGCAAAGCCGGTGCGCACCATCGGCAGGAAAATGCCCGAGATCAGCACATGATCGCCGGGCTGAGCCATGCGAGTGACCTCGCCGCGGCAGAGCACCGTCATGCTGCGTGGTATGTGACCGACGGGCACCTGGTCGCTGTGCTCCTGCATTTTCAGCTCCTGGAACTTGACAAACTTGGAGCCGCGCGTCTGCAAATATAAACGACCGCCAGCCTTGTTTACGCGGCAATCATCCGAGGGGCATTCCTGCACAGGTATGAAGGAGAGCGAGTTGACGGGCTGGTACGTCTCGGCGCCACAGCGATCGCAAGTGTAGGTGGCCACCACCATCATCGGCTTGACCTCGGTGCAGCGGGTGACAATGCCGCGCACGGTGACCAGTTTGCCAATTTGCTGGGCCTTCACCTCACGTATGGAGTGCGCCTTCTCCGTGGACAGCGGCTTGAAGCCCACCTCGCTGCATCGACAAACGTTAACATGGGTTTCTGCTGGCATCTGGTCATGTTCTACTCACAATCTCTTCATCAGCTCTGTGGGAAAGGCGTTGCGCTCATCGCGCTGCTCCATGGGATTACGCGTCCGGGCGTCCATCATCAGGCGATGCTCGATGTACACGTCTAGCGCATCCTTGGCGTGCACCTCCTGCTGCTTGTAGCTGGGCAGCAGCTCGGCGATCACATCGCTGAAAATGGACACATAGCGTCGGCAATTCTCGACCACAGCCTCGGCGAGACTTTCATTGAACTCGGCCAGGTCGTCCAGATCGATGGTAATGAGCACTTGCTCGCGATGCGCCAGCTTCACTAGCTGCGAGCCATAGACAAACTCCTTTTTGCCATCATCGTCGCATTTGCAGAACTCGGCCAAAAATGTTTTGATCGATTCTGCGTGATATATTTGTGAGCACAGTTTGTTTGATTGGGTTCATTTCTTTATTACCTCTATCCTGTGCGTAGTCACGGCGCGCCATTTGTGTGTGCCTTTTTTTTACAATATTTAACTAATGTGGAAACTTCACTCTCTGCGCGCTTGCAACAAAATGCAACCAAAATACAACAGAACGCCGCTTCCCGCCTGCCGTCTATGTCCGCGTTATGCTAAATTCGCGCCTTTTTTACGATATTTTCGATAGTTTTCAATTCTCAAATATTGCCAGCGGCAAGGCTGCCACCCTTAATTGCAGCGGGTGGTGCAAGTATCGAAAGCAGCTATCGATTTTTGTCAAGTTGGCAGCACTCTTAATTTGAGCGCTTGAACTAGTTCCGGAGCAGTGGCAGCGCGGCAACAAGTAAGTTGGCGCGCTGAATTTGAATTTGAAATATAGGCGATACATTACAAAAGTATTTTATGCGTTGTCAATAAATAGCTAGACTTGTTTTGTTTTGTTACATAATGATTTATTTATTATTATTTATTGGTTTTTAGGCGTCTAAAAAGTGGTACATTTAATTTTTTTGTGCACAGTTGCATTATCTTCGATTAGATTTACAAAGATGATTTGCTTTTTGCATTAATTTGCTTCCCCTTTCGAACGTTGTGTTTGCTGCTGTTGCGGTATACATAAGTTACAGTATAATATGTTTTGTTTACGTTTAACTTAAATATTATTAATCACATGCAATAGTTAAATAATAAAAATAATAATTATACATAGTTTAACATACACATATTCATGTGACCGCCGTTCTCAGAGCTTTTCTTGTTGTTGTTCTTCTTCTTGTTTATAGTTTCGCCTGCGGTCGTTAGTTTCTATTAATCAGTAGTATGTATATATATATTTATATATATATATTTTATATTTTTTTTTATATAGTAAGTAGATCAATTTGTTGTGTTATTATCCTTTGTTAATTGGCTACTAACTAAATTTCATGTTGTCATTAAACCATTTCTTTTTACACTTTACACGCTAAATTATTACACTTTACGCGCTAATATACTACATATATGTATATGTTAGTATGTTTATTTATTTATATATATGTATGCATTTATATTTTACTTAGTGCCTGCTTTTGCATTTTATTATTCTTTAGAGTGTCGCCTAAGCTGCTTTCTTTTCAAAAGACAACACAAAAATTACGAAGCTGGGAATTTAGTTGGTTTTAGTTTCTAAAAGTTAAACATCTACAGCATTTGCATTAAACGGTTTTTTTTTCTCAAGAGGCTTTTGGCTTGGTCAAAAGCTGATTCTCAATTGCAAGCTCAGTTCTCATCTTTCGACCAACTTAGCTTAACAAATTGTTGTTTTTCTTTAATGCATTTAGTTGCTGATGTTCTGCCTTAGTTTTTATAAATTGCATTTCTATTTATGTTGTGTGCATTTTATGACATTACCTCAAAGTGATTGCTTCATAAAATTTAGTTTTAATAACGCTACGTATTAGATATTTTTTATATCTATAGATACACATAGTTAAATAGATTTTTTATTGTTTCATGCGTATAAAGCTGTAAGTCTTCTAGTTTTTTTTGTTTTCTCTTTTTTTTTTTGCCCAAAAAGTGCGTTTACTCAACTAAATTCCATTAATATGCATTTTCTTTCATACGATTCTTTGAGCTCTCACAAATGTTGACAACAATAATTCGGTTATTTGTATTTCATAAACATTTAAATCTTTAAATTCTTGTTTTACGTATTAATATCTGTGAACTTTAAGAGAAGCTCCCGCAGAATGAGCCATAACAGCAACTAGTTCTTGTATCTTGTATCTGTATCTTTTGCATTTATATAATTCGCTTGATTTAATTACACCAAAAAGGAACAATTCGCTTTGAACATTGAGCTTTATAATTTACGTTCTGTACGCTAGATATATATATATGTGTCTATATATTTATATGATTTAAAGAACATGTATCTGAACAAACTGCACTTGCTAAAAAGTTCGATGGTGGACAGGTTTTTGCTTTCAATATTTTGAGCCTATTTTTTGTATATTTTGTATTGATGTTGTTGTTGTTGTTGTTGTTTGTGCAAACCTCGCAACACATTTATATGGCACAAAAGTCTAATTGGATTCAGCGTTGAGGTGCAACAAGCCCAGGCGTGGGAAGGCTAGAAGAAAGGTGGCAACGCCAAACGGAGCAAACGTAGCGCAACTCCAATTGGGTTTTTGTTACTCTGCAAAGTGAATGCGCTTAGGCTAATAAATTAATGGTAACAACTTAAGCATTACACAAATAATAATCATATTAATAATAATGATAATAATAATATAATAATAATAATATTAATAATAATTATTAATATTTAATTGCGTCGAACTTTGTGCGCGCGCTTCCGCTGCTGGCATGTTGCTGCCTTGCCTTGCGTTTAATATTATTATGCGTTGTTATATATATTGTTTATATATATATATATATTTTATTTATTTTTTTGGGATTTGGGTGCTGCTGCTGCTTTAACTACAACTACTGTAGAGTGTGACTAGTGTGAGGAGTAGGCTCGTCGCAGTGGCCGTCAGTGCGCTGGACGCGCCCTTCTGCACCTCGCGCGACTCGGTGTCATAGTTGATGGGCGTGGTGCCTGATGGATCATCGAAGTTCGATGTGGGACCTGTGCGGCAGAGAGAAAGAGAGAGAGAGTGAAAGAGAGTTAGACTTAACTTAGATCTTATTAAAAGCGAGGAGAAAACATTTAACCTCGGCTTGCCGAAGACCAAATGCACTTTTAGACAAGCTTTATTTAGGAAAGTTTTATTTTCGACATATTTTTTTTTTAATTTAAAATTTAGTAGACCTATTTGATACTAAGTTATACTCAAGAAATTTTAAAGAACAGGTAAGCTTTTCCGACAAACAATAACCACCAAGTCTTTAAAAACAAATGATTTTTCATAGAACTTAATTTTATGCCCGATTACTTCTTTTGACAGTTGTCCAATCCGACGGACTCCAACTTATATACAGACTGTCAAACTGATCAATAATAGATATACATTTCACATATACGACAATGTCTACTTCAAGCTATTTTGATGCTGATCAAGCATATGTATATACTCTATGGGCTCGACAAGGTCTACTTCCATTCGTAACACATTTGGTGACAAAATGAAAATACCGTTTGGTAGGGTAACTTACCATCGCCGGAGCCATCACCGGAGGCGTGTATGCTGCTGTACTCCTCATCGTCGTCGCTCATGTGGCCGCCGCCTCCTCCGCCGCCGCCGCCGCCGGATCCCTCGCGACCCATGTCACTCTGGATGTCATGGCTGTTGGAGACAGGCGCCTGCAGCAGGGGAAAGCAACACATATGATTGAGTGGACCAAGGGATTAGGTTATGCGGTGCACTTACCGATACGCCGATGCTCTTGCGTATCTTGATGAGCTTGTCGACCAGCTCGTTGAGCCTGCTGAGCTGTGACTGGTTCTCCCATGGCACCTCCGGATTGTAGCGCTGGGTGTCCGTGCCGGGCGTCATCAGCAGCTGGGTGTAGTCGCCGACGCGATCTCCGGTCCAGCAGAGATGATCGTCGCGCTGTGTATAGTCCTCATCACAGAAGCTGTATGCCAAAAGCATTCGAATCTCAGTTAGCCGGTTGAAATCTACATTTATTTACATATCTACTTTTGTGTGTATGAGTGTGTGTCTAGTTAGTCAAATGTTGTCATCGCTGGCAGTCTCATTTGGCAGCCCAATAGTATAACAACATTTGTTTTTCCAAAAAAAATTTGAATCATAAGTACATAACAAAAACTAATGCCTGAACATGTTCAAGGAGCTTGTGGTGTTTGTGCATACAACGGCTCGCAACTTTTGCCTGGTGCGTCCCACGGCAGTTGCACGTGGCGTAAGTCATCCAGCCGGAGCACGGGAATTTCGAGTGTTAACCCACTAATTGCTGCTCCTGCTACCTTTCGTAGACTGCATGCCGTCCGATGGTGAAGAATTGCATCTGGGCTAACGTGATCTTCTTCATAGCCATCTTTACGCCGCTCTACGTGTGCCTGCTGAAGGATGTTTTTGGACTGTTGCGCGATCTGAACTACAAGATGGCCAGGGGCAAGTAGGTGGGACCCGTTGGACCCGTAGGTACACCGCATAGGTCAATTTATGTTCAGAGTTAACTAAACCCCCATACGCACACAATCTCGCTTAAATATATATTTGTTTGTGGCCTCAATCCTTGTGCTGGCACTTACTTGTACACAATATTGGTGAAGAACTCCTTGGACTTCTCGATGGTCGACAGGAAGTGCACGATGCCCGCATCTGGCGGCGTTGCCCACTTGATGCTCGCGTGCTGCTGCACCGGCTGCGCCTCCGCGGCGGTCAGCGAGGGCAACAGATTGGGCGTGCCGCATGTTTTCCTCACCTAGGGGGGGAGGAAAATGGAAGAGGAGATAGTTTTGAGTTAGATTCGCATGTTCGAGCGGCACTTCCTGTGCCCCACGCGTTAATCGCCGGCACTCATGCACGTGCAATTGCCCCAGCTCGTGCCCCAACTCGTGGCTCGCTGCATTGCATGTAAATTGCAACTTGCCAGCAACTGGTCGCCGTCCGACTGCATAAATGTCATCTAATTGGACAGTTTTAAATCCCATTTCGAGACAACTTTAGCCCCGACTCGTAATTGAATGTCATGCACTCGAAACTGGTTGCATTTGTGGCATCCGCTCGAAGGCCGCCCATAAAATTAATTTAAAATGTTCATAAATTAAGGCGCAATTAAAGCCTTTATGTCCTTGTCCAACACGCACGAGCTTGTCATTTCGAATGAGCGAAAACTCCTCAAAATGCGCCTGGCTTAATGTTAAAAATTATAATTGTAAATGCCATACATAGTATATAGCTTAAGGTTCTTGGAAATTGGTTTAGGCCAGACATGTACGATTTTCGCATGGGTTTAAGCATCTTATGATTGATGTAAAGTTCATTTAATTTCATTTAATCATATATATTCAGGGCTGGTTTAAATTCTGTTTAAACAATTTAATTTAGTTTTGACAAGCTCATTCTACTGAAATTTATTCACTACCTGGGCTGCAGGCCCAAAAGAGAAGTCGGTGGTTGGATTCACGCTTCGAACCAGCTGCGTGCCCTTAAGCTCGGCTTGTGCATCCGCTTTTACATGCCTTTAACAGAGATCTTGGTTCAAACCTTGGTTTGTCATATATTTTCGAAATTCGACATATTGAACGCCATAGATATTGTTTTTTAGAAGTTCGATGCTTGTTCTTTCTCTTGTTAACAAATCAGTTACGATTTGCTTTGAACGCTCCACTTACCTTCTTCTCTAGCTCTGGTCCGTTTTCCATGGCTCGCATAATGGCCTCGGATAGCTTTGTGTCCAGCTGCTTGATGGTACTCATAATGCCGCTGTCGGAGCGTATGTGCGTGGCCACCAGGTTGTCCAGGGCCTCCACAACATTCGACCAGGGGCTGTCCAAAAGGCCCGAATACTGAGCCGAGCAGCCGCTGCAAATGCAAAAGGGAAAATGAAATAAGCAAATGGAAAGCTGGAAGGGATTGGGGGATTAGCAAACTTACCGCATCACATTCATGCAGTAGCTGTAGCAGACCTTGGGCCTGCTGTACTCCGGATGGCCATTGCAGTTGGGGCAATAGTGCATCTTGAGCAGATGCAGCTGGCACGTGTCCGTCAGCTGTTTGCCGTAGAGGGCGTCCGTTTCGCTAAGCACCTCGGCGCTCTGGAGCAGGGCGTTCATAAAGATATTGGACATGTGCACGCTCTGAAGCAGATTGGCCTGAATTTCCTTGGGTATTTGGTCAAATGGCTGCAGGTCGTCGTAGTTGTGCTTCAAGCAATTCGTGTAGTCGTCGTGCAGCTCGCCGTAATTGTCCTTGGTCAGATGCACCGCCTGATGGTAGGCCACCGGAAATAGATTCTCAAAGAACTTGTGCAGCGCATCCTCCAAGCTGCTCTGGCTGTGCAAAATGCTGTTGCCCTGCCCATTATTGCTGCTATAGTTAGACGTGTACTTCAAATGGCTGTGAAGAAGACGGAGAAGACGAAGAAGCACCAGTTAAATAGCTATTTTTATTGACACTTTCCGGGGTAAAGGCCTCTACATACTTGATGATTTCCGTGTACAGCTGATGTATGAGCATTCGCGACAGTGGCTCCATTCGCCTGTAGACCTGGGAGAACACATTCAACGTCTTGTTCTCCGACTGCTCCGCCAGCTCCAGGACGTGACCTGACGGAAGAGCATAATCCAAAGGTGGTTCTTATTATTGTTTGTTCGACATTGTAATAAAATTTAATCACTCTGTTATTGAACTCGCTCACTTACTCCCTCTCTCTCACTCTCTCTCTCACTCTCCCTCTCTCTCTCTAGCTCTATGCCTCTGCTGGGATTTGCCTGGCCTAATGACCTGTCTGGGATTTGTTACCATTTTGGCTTGGTTGTTAAGGCCAAAGTTTATTATATTGTTCTCAGTGCTTTTAGTTAATTAAATCAAATTTGTGCTCGACTTGGCCGAAAGATTTTATTTATTAAATATTCAAGGCAATCAATAATTGCTAGCTAAAGAAAAGTCGAGTTTAAGTACTTAAGACATGTCTTTGATTTGATTGACTCGATTTTCTATGCAGATAAAGCAATTTTCTACTGTTTTCTAAATTTAGTTTTAATTACTTTGGAGTACAATTGGGAGCATATTGAAGCATAGCAGCCATCGGAGTGAAACGAATACTTTTGCGTACTACTCATTCGAGTGAGTAATGCTTAGAAAGGGATACCTACTGAATATAAAGAAGTATTTAAACTCAAGTAGCTTTTTACATTACAAATAAGTTAAGTGAGCAACACTTATTTATGTGAGTAATTGTATTAATATTCGAGTAGATTTTAGTATTGAAAGTAAGTAGAGAGAGTTTCATCGAACACTTTTGATTAAATAGTGCGTACAAATGGGTATTTATTGAGTATGAAGGAGCATTTATTGTCAGATATTTTTGAGCATTACAAATGGGGAAGGTGAATAATGCCTATAAGCTTATACGCATTAAACAGTATCAGTAATCGAGTAAAGTGAGCTTGACTGAGTACTTTTGTTTTGATTTACTTCTCAATATTTATTCATATAAGTAATGCGTATAATTGGATACTCATAGAAAATGAATGAGTATTTATACTCGTGTACTGTTCAGCATGGCAAATGAGTAATTTGGACTTATTTCGCTTCATTTATCGCAAGTCTTGTGCTATTTTTCGATCAATCAATCAATCTATGCCCCATCAACAATCAAAGCTTTTGCCACGCTTTCAAATACCCAAGTCAAGCACAGAGTATGCTAATCACAGTATTGCTCAAAAATCATCTGTCAAAGTGTCAGCGAAATCTGTCTGCCTGGATTTTGGTATTATATTATTGATTGGCCATCGAACACACCTGACGGACACCTGCAATTGCCAACTGGCAACCGTCAACTGGCAACTCGCAGCTTGCGGCTCGTTATTATCGCGGCTAATACAACGATTACAAATGCCTCACAACCGTTTGTCAATTTGATAATCTGCATACAAACACACATAGCATATATAACAGACTTATAAAGAAGACAACGACCGACTGTCAGACTTTAAGTCCGTCTGTCAATTTGGCTGTCGGAGAAGTCGTCGCCGCCTCTTCGCTGGCCAAGCAACTGGCGAAGCGTGGCAAATTCTAAATTGCAATCTGTTGTTCTCTATGGCCAACGACTCGGTTTTTAAATAAAAGTGTCAATCTTTTTGTTAATTGGCAAATGGTAACAACAACAACAACAACGACGAGAACGACAACAAAAACTAAAAGCAGAAAAAAAAACGAAAGAACGGCAAATCTGGGCTCGTCGAAGATTAAATACTCTTTTAGATATATACAAAATATTTTCGAAATATATAAGGATAGCTTCACTAGTAATTGTTGAAGGCTGGTTAAGATTTCTTGAAAAGCAGAAACAATTTCTATATAAAAATTAATTTTTTACCAATTCTTCCTACAGAGCCTGATGCTCATAAGTTTTTATTCATATGTGAGGAGCATGGTTAAACTAGTCAAAGCCAAGATTAGTCAAAATATCTTGAGAAACAAATAAGTTATTTTCTAATATTCTTAATTTTTGACTGTTCATTTCTATGACAGCTTTATGATATAATGGTCTGATCCGGCTTGTTCTTATATGTATGCTCAGGCATATATAAGTTTAATGGAGTTAGAGAACTCTCCATAACAAGTTACACATTTAAAGACTAATTTATAATACCCTCTAGAAGGGTATATAAATACATTTCGGCGTGGCAAAGTGTTTTTTATACTCATCGCAACACGCCAAAGTTGTTGTTGTTGCCGTGCGAAGCATTTCCGTTCTCAGCCTTGGGCTCATTTTGGGCTTGGCTTGGCTGACTGTTGCCCTGTCCGTCCGACTGTCTGGCTCTTTATCGGCTAATGGCCTTTGATGCGTCAGAGTTTACCCCTTTTAATTAGCTTTCTTGCGATTTGTTGGTTTCGCTTCAAATACACAAAGCGTCCAGCTGCCACAACAGCCACAGCAACAACATGAACATCAACAACATTTGGCCAGCTAATCAATTGTCAATTGCCGCTGATAATTGCGCAGGATACGCACCAATAGAGCGAGAAAGCAGTAGATAGATAAGCGAGTGCGAGAGAGAGAGAGAGAGAGAGCGCTTATCAATTGCCATATAACAATAACATTGTTATTGTTCAATTAGTTGTGAACAGTGCATGCAATTCGTATGCCAACCGAGGAGCGTAGCTTTGGCATGTGGAAATTGCAAGCCCCTTCACCCATCCTGCCCCCCGCACACATCCTGCCGCTAATCTCATTGAGCTGTGGAAAATGAAGCCTTCAACAGGCGGATGCTGCACTTAATAATTAACACGCGAGCTCAAAATGCGTTGATGACCGCAGATATTCGCACATTAATTACAAATTGTGCGAGCAATTGTGAGCGTAATTGAAATGGGAGAGTGCTTACTGTCAGTATACATATATTATATACAGATATATTATTTATAAATATATGTCTATGTTGGCGTGCTAACCATTAGCCATTGTCAGAGTCAAGAAGCAGCCAGCCGCAAAGCCAACGCTTTACAACCTTTACAAAGCTGCCAGTTTGAGCTGTCATCTGCAGTGCGAAAATAAGTGCAGCTACACTTAGAGAAAAAACCAGTGTTAAATTCGAATATGAGTGTGACAGAATTTATTTGGTTTTTTTCTATAGTTGTAAACACATTTTGTGCCTGTCTTAATTAAGTATGCAAAGTTTTTAAAATCGAACTAAAAATCAGGAATTTTTTAATTAAATTTTGTAGATAGATATTTGAGTATTTGGAAATTTTATTGAAATAAGAATTGATTCTTGGGCTTAGAAATTTCAAACCCAATTGGACTTAAGCAACATATGCTTTTGCTTTGGGTAAGTTTGTACATCATTGTCTTTTTGTTAAAATTACGAAATATTTTACTTATTTCGTTTATACTAAAGAAGTTTGGTTTCATTTTGAGAAAGCTTGTGCCTAAATTCTGGACTTTTACTCTTACTAATTGACATCCACCTTTTATGATAGTTTTCCAAGTTCATAAAACGATGGATTTTATCAAAATAAAAACACATCTGTAAATATCTTATTTAATATCATATAGTTAAGTTTGAGCATGTGCTTAATTTCTCGCCCACAGTATCTAATGTTAAAGTCCATTAAAATAGTAATAAAATGTTGGCAACAAGTTGTCAGCGTTTGATAGTTAAATTGCCATTTGCTGGGATTGAGACTGAGGCTGCGGCTGCGACCGAGGCGGAGGCAGCATACAGCATACGCTGCGTATACTTAATGTTATTGCAGCTGCTTTGTCGGGCTAATGTGAGCAATTAAGTTGAGGTTTTCACACAGCCCACACGCAGAGGACGACCGACTGGCAAGAGCCAGCCACAGGCTATGTGCAGGCAGTTAAGTTTGTGGCTCCATATCAAAAGTCTGCCTAGAAACGAACATATATACATATGAATATATATATATATATATATATACGTGTATGCAAGCTGCCAGGGGCAGGCACACACACACTTTGTTGTTTCATGTGCTGTGCACAACTAATTGCAATTTGTTTCTCCCTTTCTCTCTCTCTCTCTTTATTTCTAGTTTCTGGGAATTAATAGAGCACTGGCTGCTTGAGTGGGACGAGGCAGTTAACCAAACGCAATACGGCATAAGGCAAATGCCATTTGGCCATGTTACATGAAAATTTCATTAGACTAAGGTTTATTTTTCAACATTGTCGCAATCGTCACACATCAAGCAGCAACGACTCCAAACGGGCAAACGGACATTCTGATTGAATTAGACAACGCTCCGGCTACGGTCTGTGGCCAAATACCATTTGAGACCAACTGCAAAGGGAGCCAGAGTTGGAGTCGGGCCGCGCCGCGCCCACGACAACAACACATAAAGGGCATCAGGTAGGGCCACTAAAAAAAAACGAAGTTCCATTCACTCGAAAGTTCTTTACGTATTCATAGAGCAAATATCTGAGCTAGGCCACATTTGCTTCATTAGAAGGCGCCGGAGCGGGATTAGCATGGCGAGCAGTGGGCACTGCAGTCGCGTCCAAGCTTGGCTCGGACCGGTTCCTCGCTGCCTCGAGGCCCAGCCCCAAAAGCGGCTCACTCGCGCCGGCAGATGCGACCGCGTTTCGCAGTTGTTTCTGTTTCCCACGCCATGGCAAATATACATATACATATATGCAGGGACAGCCCACAGGTTTCGCCTCTGCTGCCCGTTCTGATGCCCTTTGAGCGGGGTATTACAAGTTTGTCACGAGATGCTATTCATATATATATATTCTCGATCGGTATCAACAGCCGAGTTGCTATGCTAACTAGTCTTTAAGCCTGAAAATGATTGATTTACATTCTTGCTATTGCAGTTAGTATATATATATATCTAAATCGACTGGATCGAAGCACTATATCAGTTGGTTGCCATAGGAATAATCAGTCTAAACTTAAAAGGTATATAGAAATGGGATAGAATATCTTGACTTTGCTTGGCATTTACTAGACTTCATAATCCTCTTTCCATTCAAGCAGTCTTATAAACATCGGACGACTATTTCATATAGGTCTATGGAAAGCACAGAATTCATTTCGTATCGTATATATTGAAGAATATTTTAAGCTCTCTTGTAAAAAGCAAGGGTATTAAGTGTGCGGCGTGCTGCGATTAGCCATGCCATCCTGTTTTTTATTTTTGTGTAGTTTTTAGGTTCTTTTTTTTATTTTATATTTTATTCCCCGGTTTGTGTTGTGCGCTGCCTGCGTTCCTGTGCGGATATTACAATTTTAGTATCTGCCGCTTTTTTATTTGCATTTTATATGCATGTATTTCTTGATTTTTCTAGCCTTTGCTCCCGTGCGCGCTCTCCCTCTATCTAGCTCTCTCTGTCTCGCTCTCTTTCTCTCCCTCTCCCATTTGGGTCCATTTTGAAATGTGGCAAGTTTTTGCCTGTGCTCTCTGCAGTTTGCCAAAGAGCCTGGCACAGTGGTGCCTGGGAATTGCCCGTCCAGGTGCTTTGAAGTGTTTTTTGGAGTCTCGCATCTTTCACTGATTGGGTGACTTTTAAGGTGGAGCACACATAATTATAGCCTGCGTTCTAGCCTGCTATCTGCTCTATGATAATTGCTGCTATCTGGGCTCCAGCTCGCATCGATATAGACGGCACACAGTGTGCTCAAGTGCCTGGATTGTAACTAGCTATCTGCTGGCAGGCGTGCCGTCTTGGCACGCCCCAAACCAGATGCCAGCAGCAGCAGCAGCAGCAGCAGGAGGAACAACTTGACTTAGCCAACTCGGCCACTCCAACAGCTGTGGGCTCCGTGCTGGCTGCGCCTGGATGCCTGGCTTTAGCACAATGTCAAAGTAATTGGATGAGTTTAGCTCTTGACTTTATATCTGCGTCGTCATATTGAGGTGCTTCAGAGCATACGCATTAATTGTCTACTGCGAAGCTCTAACTTAACTGCTGTCAGCCTCTTGCCTCTAACTCCTAATCTCTTGCGGCTTTTTAAGTTTCTTTTCTTTTCTTTCTTTTTTTTTGTGGTGCCACCAATTAAAAGTGAGCGCTTACAAATGCTGTACATTTACAGTGGTTAGCAACTAATTATAATGCTTATAAATATCATTTGGACGGTGCAGCCAGCCAGACAGACAAGTTGGTTAGACAAAATGGAGCCGCTGCTGCCAGTGGCAGTTAATGAAACCTGTTGCGCAATTTTTATATAATTTTTTATATTTTTAATTAAATATTTTTTGTTATCGCGTTTTGTTTGACAAACCGCAAATGACTCCATTAATTTTGTTTTTCAATAAACAAACGATTACGAGCTGGTTTTGCTGCAGCTTATTTATTGTTGTTTGATGCTATCCGCTTCAGATATTCATTCAGTAAATCTAGCTGCACAGTCAAGGTCGGCAGTTTGAGCCAAATATATATTTAAATTTAAAGAATCGTGTTAATTGGAAGCATTTTTTATGGCAGTGAAACGAGTTTGCAGCGAGAATTTATTGTATGTATAAGATCGTATCACGCAATCCTGTTTAGGTTTTGAAAACCTTACGAGGTCGTAGGTTTTACAAAATTCCTAGCTTAACTTCAATTTCAGTTGCCGCATTGTTGCAGTTGCAGTAAAAAATAATGATAACAACTGCAGCCACTCGAGCTTGACGCTCGGTATCTCTGGCTCTGGCCAACTAACCAACTAGCTAACAGCTTCACTTTGTGACAAGCCAAACAAAAGCAGTTAACAAACGATGACGGCCAAAAGCCACTTTGCTCGTAGACAAAAAAAAAAAACAGAGGAGAAAAAAGTAACAGCATCAGCAAGCTGGCCAAAGCGCAAGATATGGCCGAAACAGACTTTGCAGCGCGTTTGAGAAGCGCGGAGAGAGGCAACTGCCAAGTGGAATGTGCCACGAAAGTTGCGACTTATGAAAGTGCACGCACTGTTGTTGCAATTGATGCTGTTGTTGTTATTGCTGTTGCATTGCAAAAATGCGAAAATATAAAAAGAAAACGAATTTTAGCCACACTTCGTTTTTGTTGCACAAAGAGCGAAAAGTTTTTGTGGGTGAGTGTGTGTGTGTGTGGCAGCCAGCCAAACGGGCTGATCAGTAAGTCAGCATTTGGAACTTTTATGCAGGCACACGCCGAAGCGCAGGCAAGAAACGGCTGCGAAGGGCGGGTTGGCTTTTTGTCAGGCAAAAGCATTAAGAGTGAGGATGAAGGGGCAAATGGAGCAGCGGAACGTGCTAAGTGCAATGGAGACATAGTGCGCCCGCAATGGAGACAGACCCGCCAGCTTGGCCAGAGGCAGCTTGTGGAGGCGCTTCTGCCAAAGGGGGCAGGGCTTAAAGGCGGCGGGAGTTGGCATAATTCGTAAGCTGCGAAACGTGTTTACACACGCAAATACTTGCTTAAAAATAATACGGAACATGCATTCGCACGGAGCAGCAGAACGAGAAGCAGCAGCAACAACAACAACAATGCAAAGCAGCACATGCAGCAACAAAGCCACGCAACACAGCAAAACAAAACAGCACAAAACATAAAACAACAATCAGGCAGGAAACGGAAAGACGCGGCGCAGGGCGAGAGGAAAAGCGCCAGGAAAACCTGCATATGCGCAGCTCTCGATGCGGCTGATTTTGCTGCTGCTGCTGCTGCTGCTCAAGTTGCGGCATTAAGCGGCAATGTGCATTTATATTTTATATACAATAAAATATATTTTATGCGTAAGCGCGACAATGGAACGAAAATACCAGCAATAATATGCATTACATTTTATAGTTAAAGGCATTTGAAGAGTTGAAGCTTGAGCAAACATTACGCATACGCACGGGCGTACGAGCTGGTACGAGGTAAATCAATTTTTATGGTCAGCGTGTGTAGACATAAAAGAGAGTTGGCCATACACGAGTTGGCCAAATCCCAAAGTTAAACAACTCCAAGAGGCTTAAAAGCCAAACAATTTCCAATCACTGTGCGGCAAATTGTTTGACATGCATAAATTATATGTAACATTATTTCATATGCATTAAATGATTAAATAAACAGCATTAAAAAAAAACAAGGGGAAATTTTTTGCACACAGTTTAAATAACATTTACAACAAAATTGCAAGCCTCGTGCATTTTTAAAGCACGCGCCTACTTTTATTTTATTTCATTTTTTTATATGGTTGTTAAATAAATAAATTGCAATTTTAAATGTAATTTCATTTCCATGCCTGCTTGCCTGTATATTTATTAAGCTAAATGAATTCGCTGATTGCATATTAATATTTGTTTTTTGCATTTGAATTGAACGTGGGATACTTCACGAGCTCTAATGTGACATCATGCAAAGGCAGCAAATGCACTGAGAATTTTAAATAATTCGTGCCGCAGCGCTGGCAGAAAAAAAGAAGAAGAAAAAGAATCAACAAAAGCTCTTCCATATAGAGGCCTTAAGGGCTCAGATTTCAATTGACAACCACAGCGAGTATTTACTCGGTCAAATTAATTTGTATTTTTGCTTCAAATTTAAACGATTTAATGAAATAAATTATTTAAATGACGTTAAATAAACATGAAATGCAAACAATAGATATATGTGCGCGAATTGTGTGCTCGAATACGCGGCCCATAAAAACAGCCAGAGTCGGGTGCAGCCGCAAACAAAACTTTTTAATTTTAAATGCGCGCCCATTTCCAAGAACTGCAGCCAACAGCAACAGCAACAACAACAACAACGAGAACAAATACATATTGAGAACAGCAGCCCGAGCTGGGGGCACGCCTTAAAGCGAGATTTACAACATGTACGACAACAATTTGCAGGCATTGAAAAGTTCTCCTACCGCTGTTGTCCTCCCGAAAACGTGACCCAAACAAAGTTTGCAAAGTGTCCAAAAGGCGATGAGCAACAACAACAACAACAACAACAACAACCACAATACAAACAACAACAACAACATGAGCAACAACAATATTTAATGCCTTTTTAATTAGATGCAGACACTTTGTTGCATTCCAAACAGCTCGCAGCGGATATGCCCCGGCCAAGACTCGCTTGTTTATGGATATGGATTGGCATATATATATATATATATGTATATGTACACAGGTATATATGCCTGACTTTCATTGCCGTGAGTCGCTTTGATCTGCATACAAATGCAAATTACAAATCAATTTCGCGTTTCAAGTTTAATTTTGTTAAATTCAAACCGAAAGAAAAATAAAAGTTATCATCATAATTTTTGCGACCCACGCTCATATTTGCATATTATAAATAATTTATTGCCACGAAAAAAACATATATATATATATATGTTTATAAACTTTTCAGACTTTGCCTCCGACTCTGACTAACCAACCAACCAAACGACCGACCGACCGACTGGCTGACTGGACTGATTTGCATAAAAGCGTTTGCCATTTGCCATTTGGCAGTCTCCAGTTTTTAGCTTTCAGTTTCCATTTGCCGCATTTTGCAGGCTGCACTCTCGCACATTCAAATGCGATTCAAAGTATTCATATACATGTACTCATATACTCACTCTGAAACTGGCTGGCCGTGGTCTCCAGGATGCCGCGCAGGCTGCTCGTGTGATGGTGCAGCAGTTGCTCAAACTTTCCGGCTGCCTTCTGGCGCAGTTCCAGTTCCGTGGCATTGCTGCAGCAGCTGCCACCGCAAATGGCGCCTGCAAAAGTAAAACATATGAAAAACAAAAATTAGTTATCTGTCCAAAATACGCATCTAAATAACAGCTCTAGCTCTAGTCTATAAAACTCTTTAGCTCTTGGCTGTCAATCTCTGCCAACTTCGTGGCTGCCCAATTATCTTCAAAATATCGTTTATTTCTTGTTTAATTTCTGTGCTGTCTTCGGGTGTGGCTCACTTAATTGCTTATGGCTCAAAGCCTGCTTTGTGCCTCAATTTGGTGGCGATACCCATCATCATGTCAGCGTACTCTGCGTGGGCTTTAAATACATTTTCAAAACAATTGAACATTCATTTTCTTTTTAGTTTATTGCGTTTCGCTTTAACTACTTTTATGTATAGCACCATTTGTTTCTTTTTATCAGTTTTGGGCGTTTTAATAACTTTTCAATTGCTCGTAATTGCGAATTTTTTGGGTGTTGCCTTTCCATAAACTTAGTTTCCATTTGGCCAGCTGTTGCTATTGTTGCCGCTGCCTTATAATTTTGGCTTGAAATTGTCTTCCAAATAGAACAAGAGCAGGAGATCCCAATCACAAATAATTGAAAAGTCATCTCCAAGCGACTGGAGGATCAACACTTAATCGATTTTTATGCTCAATATCACTTGAATCATTTTCAAGAATGCAATCAAATTGTTGCTGCGATAATTTATAAATAATAAATAATAAGTACAAAAGTACAATAAAAAGTACAAAAATGTTCTAATTTAAGGGGTTCACATGCCCAAGATTTGTTAAAGCTCATCTCTAAAATAAATCATGTACATATCATCAACAGGTTGTTGCAGCTGTTAGCTACCCCCTTTGGCAAATTGTTGCAACATCAGTAAATTCAAGACTCACACACACATGTGCGTATGCATTTATGTGTTAATAGCTTTTGTCGCTGGTGGCAGCTACCGAGCGACAATTGAGCCCGGAATGAAGATAGCTGCGTGCAACTGTCGTTCTCTGTGTGGGGCAGCCGAAGGCGGGCAGTTGTGGGGAGGGGAGAGTAGTGTGTGATGCTGGCGTGGGCTGATGACACGCATTTTATGACAACTGCAATGACAATGACAGCAGCAAAAATATCAACAGCAACAGCTACAACAACAACAAAAACAACAACAAAGCAGAAATCAGGCACTTTGAGCAATCGACTTATATGGCATAGATACGTCTGCCGCGCGTGTGTGTGAGTGTTGCGTGTGTGTGTGCTGCCTATTTTGTCTTTATAGCTTATAATTTAAATTAATGGCTTCTACATGATGTTTATGTGCGCCGCGCTGCACCTACATTGGCACATTAGCATATAGTATATAGCCGTAGCCCCACCGATTAGCTGGCCAGATGTTTTTTTTTTTTCATTTTGTGGCCATAAAATTAGCAAATGGAACGAAATGAGTTTGACAAAAACTGTAAACAGTCGCAGTCGCCGCCACAGTCGCAGCGATTCATCAGCAGCTAAATTTAAGTCGACAGCTACTGTGGCAGCCACGGGAGCGGAGGGGCAGCAGCTACTGTTGTCATGTGTTGCACGCTGGGGCAGGCGCATGTGGCAACTGGCAACGGGCACGGGCAACTGGCAACTGGCGCGACGCGTCGCTGGCCGCAAAGCCATGACACATATTTTCCATGTCATGCATTGCGAATTCAACAAGCTGCAAAAGCAAAATGAAATGGAAAATTGAAAATGCCGTTGCATACAAGTGTGGCAACTGAATGTGAAAAGAAAAGAAGCGCAAGGCCAGCGAGCGAGTGCGACAGTCGAATAAAGCCAATACTCTTGGCATCTGGCAAACATTTGATCAGGTCTCTAGAAGCTAACAGCAGGCTGACATATGGCCATTCAAGTGGGTGCAAAACAATGGCATCTAATTAAGCTGAGTCATAAAGTGAATCAATCATTCGATTCAAATGTTATTCAATATACCAAGTGCCAGCTCAACATGAAAGCTGATGCCATGGCCTGGCCCGGCCCGACTTCGAGCTCTTGCCAAACGACTTTAAGGCCCGTGCAATGGCGTGTTTATGCGCTGCGTGAATAGCTGCCCATAAATCAGGCAATCCGAGGACTCAGCCAGGCAGGCAGCCCACAACTGGAAACTGGCAACTGGCCAGATCCCTTGTCAGAGTCGGCGGCGTCAGTCAGTCTAGCTGGCTGGCTGGTGGCACAAAAATGTTGCAGCTGATGCCGTCGCCTCCGAGGCTGGCTGTAACTTAAACCTGAACCGGGGCAGGCTTCCTTTCAGCTTTGCTGCTGCTGCTGCTGCTGCTACTGCTGTTCGCTCCATTGCTTTGTAGCTCAAGAGCTCACAGCAACAATTCAATTGAATTGTCGCAACGTGACACACACTCACACACACATGAGGACATGCATGGCCCAGAAAAGTATGCTAGGGCAAAGTATTTCGGGCACAGCGCGCTGCCAAATTGCAGTTGGGGCCGAGGCGTGGCGTAAAAAATGCAAAACTCATGCATGGCCAAAAACTGTGCCTGCCAAAAATACGAGTTGTGTGTGCCTTGGCATGGCCATGACCGCAGGGCATGTGGGCGTGGCACCGTTACGCCCCCACACTCAAAAGCTTTTATGCACTTTTCTTTCACTTACAACTGCTGCTGTTGCTGCCACTGCTGCTGCTGCCCCTGCAACTGCTTCTGCTGCTGCTGCTGTCTATTTGCGTCTCTTGTTTTGCAGCCTGTCACCACAGCAGCAGGCAACGTGTGCGAATTTGTTTACTGTAATTGTCGACAGGCATTGCGGAAGGGAAAATAGACACGTTGACGGTGGTGCAGTGGTACGGTGGTTTCGGCTTGACTATAGTCATGGCCATTGTGTTGCTCCACACACACACACACACGCATGCCCCTGACAAAAGCCTATACCGATTTTCGCAGGCATTATCAGACTTGGCTGAGAGCCAAGAAAACGCTTAGCTTGGCTCAGAGGCGAGCTTTACATACCTTGACATCATTCGGCTATCCTCTACACTCCCCCCTCAGCCCCTTGTCAAACACTCCACATATGCTATATGCGTTTTCAATTTACAGAATGTGCTGTAAATCTGTAGAAATTCATGAATTTGTTGAGTGAGAGAGAGAGAGATAGAGAGAGAAAGAGAGGGTGTGCGCGCGGGGAAAATGTGATGTGTTTGTTGAAAAGTTTTAGTGCCTCATTCTAATTAAAGAAAATGCTTACTAAGTGCAAAAGCAAACTTTTGGCTGCTGCTGACGCTCAAATGACTTCATGACTTGTGTTTGTCTCGCAAAACTATATAAAGTATGTGTGCGTGTATATATATGTATAAGAGCAGCACTTATACAACATAATTCTTACAGAAATATACACTTGAAAACAATTTCTAGTCTAACATGACATGTGGTTTCTCGGAAAAGCAAATAACCTTTTGCCTGTTGCATACTAAGTATATCATAAATATATATTTTCAAAATTGTGTTTTTCTAGTGAAATTTATGGCCTTGATAGAAAATCAATTTGTGTACACACACCACAACCCAATGCATTCTGTGCGCAGCGAAACCCTATCGACAGCTCGCAGGCCGGGCCAAGAAGTCAACTATTGGCTAGGGCCATAAATTGTAAAAGAAATTTATAATCAGCAACAACTTGAACAACAAATACTACACATTCAGACCGAGTGACTGCAGTGCAAACCACAAATAAAAACATCCGCCGGTTGCCACCAGACATAGACCCCGCCCCCTTCAACCCACCCCACTCCGCCTTGGTTGCGTGGCACCGTGTGTCAAGGGGCGTTCGATAATTGTTATCAAAAAAAAAGTGTTGACTACTTGTCAAACACCAACAATTTGTGCAGCGATAACGATTAAAAGTCAACAAATGCGGCAAAAAGAAATGATAGAGAAGAAGCATTAGTCCGATAGAGCCGAGCATATTAAGACCAAGAAGCGGGCATAACATAGAGAAAGGTGCGCAGGGTGCCGGCAGTAGATCCTATCGATATGCTTCAACTGTTATACCATTTTATGGTTCGTTGAGTTCCTCTTATTATTATGACACGTTTCTTGTTGTTGTTGCTGCTGCCAGAAGGCATGTAGATCGTCATCAGCTGTGGCAGATCTGCTGGCTTCGTGGCGTTTCAGAAAGAAGAAAACATAAAAACCAGAATCGGTTCGTTGAACTCTGTTCTAGTCTAGTTAATCAAAGTCTAGTTAAGCATACCAAAAGCAGGCAAAGTCTTCTGAAATGCATTTGCAAACTAAACAAATGCTTTCTGGAAGAAGAAGACAACTCAGAGACCATAATATATATGTATATGCTTGATCAGTATTAAGAGTAGAGTCGTTATAAACTATAGCTGCCATATCAATTGAAAATAAAGTTCTGGTATAAGAGATCTTTTTATATTTTCAGATAGATGACATTTCACAGATACATCCTGCTGCTTCATATGTGCGAAATATTATCAACGGCGGCCTTCTATATCATGTAGCTTCAAGGTAAGACTCAGTCGAAAAATAAGTTTGTATAAAATATCACGATCAAGCTCGGCTAATTCGAGCTTCATTTCTCTCCCAACATATGTCCGTTTTTAAGTTTGACTATTATACTATTTATCTGAATATATTGTGTCGCAACAATAGATTAAGCCTTCGTCTGCACTTGACTTCAGGGTATTCAATTTTCGGTCTGCCAATGTTAGTTGTTCTTCGTTTTTTGCTGGTCTTAGCTAATTTTCATGTTATCGCAAATATTTTCAAAATCGTATATCAGCAATTGGCGCTTGATAGTAGAAAGTTCTATTCTTGATATTTGCCCGACTGTCTACACGAGCTCCGCGTTAAAGGTTTGTATATTTTGCTGGTATTTTGGTAGATTTAATTTATTCGAGACGCTTTCGTTTTCGTATTTGCATCGCATATTTATTTATTGTATATTCAATTATTTGTTTTCTTTGGCGTACTGCGCCCTTCACAAGTTTATTTATTTATTTTCTTTTGTTTTACATATTTGTTGC